AGTGAGCATGGTGTACAAACTGATCCTGACAAGGTGAAAGCAGTGCTTGATTGGCCAACACCAGGCAATTTGGGAGAGTTAAGAAGATTCTTGGGATTCTGTACCTATTACAGGAAGTTTGTGAAGAACTTTGGAACTATAGCTGCTCCACTACATGATTTAACAAAAGAAGGCCAATAGTTCGAATGGACAGTTTCTTGCCAGCATGCTTTTAAGACATTGAAAGAAAAATTGGTCTCAGCTCCACTTTTAAAGCTTCCAAATCCCTCACTGTCGTACATACTGGATTGTGATGCTAGTAATGTCGGAATTGGTGGAGTGTTGTCTCAGAAAGTGGGAGAATACAAACATGTGGTGGCCTACTTCAGTAGGGTCCTGAGACGACCAGAGAGGAACTACTGTGTAACATGGAGGGAACTCCTTGCTATAATAAAGAGTCTGACATATTTCCAGCCTTACCTCTATGGGGCTAGGTTTACCATCAAGACAGAACATGCTGCATTACGCAGGTAAAGACCATTAAAGAATCCAGAGGGATAACTGGCATGTTGGATTGGAAAGATAGACCAGTATAATTATGATATTGAATACAGAGAAGGAAAATCCCATGGTAATGCTGATGGACTGAGTAGAAGACCCTGCAAAAATGACTGCAGATATTGCTGCAAAAGAGAGGTTGAACTAACCAGGTGTCATCAAGCTGAAGTCAGAGTGACTGAAGGACTTGATGATGGTGAAGGGGAACCAGTTATAGATATTAAAGCAGAGCAGGAGAAAGACCAAGATATGAAGCCAATAATTGATTTCCTACATGTAAGTGTTTTGCACCCTGGTTGGAAGAAGGTGTCTAGCTAAGCCCTGTCACCAAGAACTATTGGGCACAATGGGACCAGTTGAAGCTTGAAGATGGTATTCTTGTATGGAGATGGGAAACTGCAGATGGAAAAGTGACGACCAGGCAAACGGTTATACCGAGAAAGTTATGGGAAGTTGTGCTGCGTCAATCACAGGATAGTTTAACAGCAGGACATCTCGGAGTTAAGAAGACATTGAGTTACCTACGACAGAGATTTTACTGGATAGCTATGAGGCAAGATGTGGAAGAATGGTACAGAATATGCAGTACAGGTTGTGCTAAAAGGAGACCCAAGCATAAAGAACATGCTCCAATGAAGTTATATCAAGTTGACACCTCAATGGAGAGAGTAGCCATTGACATTG